GATAATATTAACGTTGCACTTTATTCGAATTTAATTTATACTCAAAACTTGAAAGTTCTCATCAAAGGAAATAAGACAATATACATTAGCTTATAAAATTCTCAACCCGATAATGAATTAACATCATTCCTCCATAAGTTCATCCTATTGATCTTTTGAGTAATGTGCACAATTGAATTCCTCAAAGTACTACATATATAATAATATAACATAGTATATGATTTAGTTAAAACAATATGTCATTTTATGAGAAACACAAAATATGAAAATAGTATGTAATTCCTAAGTTAGAAATCCATAGTGGATGGAATCACTAATCGATCCAAAAGAATAGTTTCTTTCATAAACCTCAACATAAAATAGCCACAATCTATACCGTTATGCTGGCGAGGACACTACACATGGAAAGAAAATACGAATATATATTAGGATATACCCCTTAAATTGTTTTATCAAGTATCATCACTAATGTAATTAAAATTGAATATCTCTTTATGAAAATATACCTCCACTCTGATCCATGTAACGTTGTTGGCTCTACTTTTTGGTATTTGAATATCTCGTTGGGAGAGAAAAGCAAGTAGAACGCTATAATAAAATATAAATGACTGTTTAGAACAATCTCACATAGAATCATAAACATAAACACAAATTCAGATATGTTGACCATAAACATAAACATAAACATAAACATAAACTTTAATATTTCTTTGGGAGCGAAACACTTACGTGTCAATCATCTGTTTCAAATATGGATATGTTGACTAATCATTGTATAACGAGTCCAGATAATACACAGTTTCTCTCATAGGATTAATCACAACCAATAACCAGTGTTCATTGTAAGATTAAACAAAGATTAAACAATATCCAAAAACGGAAAATTATAATAGATCAAGTTAGGATGAAAATCTAACTCGTTGTCAATATTATATGGCAAAAAGATTAACTTCTCAGTATCTTTACTGGCCACAAATAAACCTAGTACATATGATATGACATCATCTGGTCTCGTTACAATCAACCCTGAATTGACAATGTTGGGAGCTAAGAAGCCAAATCTTGCTTCTAATCCACGCGAGCGCACAATGTTGTCATGCATAAACCTTAAATTAAAACATGATTAACATTATACTATATTCATTGAAATGAGGGACTAAATTGTTCATTTAATTAAACAAAGTTGATCGGAGTATACCTGTAACACCCCATTTCTATCCAACGAGTTAAATACAATCAGAGTTATAAAAATTTCCAACAAACAAATGGAATGCTACATTTTCAACTTGAAACTACGACATTCAATCATCTATAGTTCAGATACATAAAACATGAATTTCGGATGAACCGATAACAACCTGCTTAGTCTTTAAAAATAAAAACAATTTTCATTACTACGCAGCGGATTCACAAAATTCAACTGAAAACACCAATAACGTCTTATCCAACTCAAAACAACTTTAAGACAAAAAGTCTTTAATGAAAACAACTTAAAAATTTAGCAACATAATGAAAATCAACAATAAAGAAAACATGCGTTCATCCCCCTGAATGCTACATATCTGAGCGACAAAACCGACTCGAACTAACGAGAGTAACATCTAACTTCCTTGAATACCTGCAAGTTACCAACAAAGGGAAACATTCAAACAGAAGGGGTGAGATATCGAACTATATAACAGGACGTATGATAAATAATATATCAGAATCAAATCATATAAAATCACCACTTCACAACTTTCAAACATCTTTAATCTCAACAAAACATCAACACAACGTAACAACTAATTCACAACCTATAAACAACAACATATTCAACAACAACAATGTATTCGACAATGACTTATTCACATCATAACCAATTTCACAAACTCAATCATCTTCATATAAACTCATAATATATATCATTATGCATGTGACTCACAACTCAATGCAACCAATGCAAATGCGGTACCGACTTGTGGACCCAAAGTTCCACCGCTTATTTTTCCACATGGGATCAAAGCCACTACGTCTATTTCCACTATAGGATCAACGTCTATTTTTTTTGTGAACCCAAGTTTCACCGCCTATGTTCCCTTTCCGGGTCAAAGCCACTACGTCTATTTCCATTCAAGGATCAACGTCTATAAAATGTGAACCCACTGTTTCACCGTCTATATTTCAAGACCAACCATGCCATGCAATGTACAATCAACAACTCGTATGCAATTAAGACCACTTCCGACCTTAACATGCACATACCACATATTCCAACACAATGAAATACCAACAATTGTACATGCATTGCAAATATAATTCACAAATCAAGTAACATACAAGTTTAAACAATGTTACTTCCATGATTTATTGAAATCAAACACAATTACGGTTAGCCCTTGAAAACGTCAAAATCTCAAAAAAATAACTCAACCATAATTACCTACGCATTTAACTTAGTTACCCCATCAAATTTCATTAATTTCTGGATAACTAATTTTTACCGCCTATACCGACAAATTAGAAACAAACACAATTCCATAAACCGGAAGCATTCAACTTAATTCGACTTCACCTGCAAAATTCACATTTTTCAACAAAATGCCACCCAACAGATCAACCAAAATTACTACCATAAACCGCATAATAATTCGGACTATTTGGGCTAAAATCGATTAATTAATTATCGGTCAAAAATTCTATTATTTCTACTTTATAAATCCTATAAAATTATTTATTAAAGATATTAAATCATTATTATTATTATTATTATTATTATTATTATTATTAAAACTAATAAAATATTATATATCATAAACCTGAAACATGGTTCTTAGTTAGAACATAAGTTCATAATTTGCCTGAATTTCAATTATCACATGAACATGATTTATCAATGGTTATATTCTACATTGGTTTAAGAAAAGAAAACGTGGATGAATGCAGTATATGGTGTTATCAAATATTTTCCATTCATAAGCTACAGTAATGCAATTAGTCCCCCTAAATACTATTTAACTCTTATACTACTATATTGCAAGCCAAGCAAGTGCCACTTAAATACTATATTTCATCGTTACTGTAACAAAACTAGCACCTTTAGATACTACTTTATTATTACCTTCGCTACAGTGTTGAAGAAATTGCCTATTACATATTAATATACTTCATTGCTATAGCGCTACAGTCCTGTAAAACAAAAGCTTTTAAATACTGCTTCCTACATATACCGCCACAGTACCCAAAACAAACACCTTAGATGCTACTGCAATCTCATCTCTACTGTAGCAGCAAGCAGTTAGTACCCATGTGCCCTTTAAACACTACTTATCTTATGCTACTTTATGCCAATGGCAAGTGCCTTTAAATATACTATGTGCTACTGTATAGAAATCATATGCCTTTAAGTGCTAATTCATTTCTATCGCTACAGTAGTAAACTATGGGCTTTTGTCCAGAATATACTAATGAACTTAAATATATGCATTATCTAAATATATTGGGTCATAAATCATCTCTCAATTTCATCAATATACCAATTTCAAACACAACTAGAATTAATATTCATAACTCAAATTCACATACTATTAATTATACACCCTATTATAGAGTCAAAACTTCATCCTTACCTTGAATTAGGAGCAGCTCTAAGAGACTTCAACCAAATTTTTGGGGAATCTTGGCACTTGGAGAAATTTTCTTCTCTACTTCTATTCTAATATAATAGTTATATTCTATTTAATCATAAAAAAATCAAATGGGGCTAAATGCTACACCCCACTTTTACTACACAACACCACTAATTAAGCCCAATTTAATATTTAAGCTTAATAATAAAATAACACTTTAACTTAATTCCACTAAATTAAATCCGATTAATTATTATTCCAATTTAATAAAATAATTTCGACTTCGACGATAAAAATTTGAATTAATAATATATATATATATATATATATATATATATATATATATATATATATATATATATATATATATATATATATATATATATATATATATATATATATATATATATATATATATATATATATATATATATATATATATATATATATATATATATATATATATATATATTCAAAAATATTTAATTAAATAAATAATTAAATACCGGGGCGTTACAATACCTGATGTATATACTGATAACACCGAAGCCTAATTCCAAATGCCTAAAAACTTGCTCCATATCCTCTCTACCAATTTCTTCAAGATATTCAAAACCAAAGATGTCTGCACTCATAGGTATAAGGCGGATACCACCATCCAGAATATCTGTAATTCCTAAATATGTCCGAAGGCACGACCTGAACTGAGCAGTAGTTTTTTTGCTAGCCACAATCTTCTTAGCAACATTTTTTTTGTGTGGAAATATTGCTAATTTCAGGCGCCTTACCCCTACTGAGTTGTGCAGACTCTTTAGCATGAATCTAGTTATCATATAATTAGTTAGGGAAAGTATAAAATCACAAATTAGCATTTCTCATAGCATAAATGTCATATAATTGTGTTACCTCAAATGATGCAATTGACTTGTTCTCCCGCCTAATCCCCTTATCTTTTGGAATGGATTTTGTTGGAGTCTAACATTACCATGTAAAAAAATGTAAGTATAATTTCCATAAAAAATTTAAATAGTAAACAGTTTTAAGCATACCTCATTATCTACGCAAACGAGACTTGACGGCCATGCAACAAACGATCCTATTGCATCTGCCACCAATGTTGCATCCGCCACATCGTCGGGTAGTGGTAACAACGCACCCCCATCTAAAACGACATCGACCGATACTTTCAAAAATCCCTCTGGGAGCGGTCTATGGTGAAGCATTTCTCCCGAAATATTATACACTTTTCTCTTGCCAACCATCTGATAAGTCGGTGTCGATAAATAGAGTCACTACAACATTTGTTGTCTCTGGCAACACTTTTTTAGGTAACATGTAGAAATTGTTGCCTTAAATTCATATAGGCAACGATTTACGATTGTTGTCAAAAATATGTTTGCAACCCTTGATAATCGTCGCCTAAAATACTTTTGGGGACGTTTATGGAGCGATACTCTTTTATTTTTTTGCCAACGGTTGTTAATTGTGCCCTTAACTGCTTTTGGGGACGATTTTAGAGTATTAAAATATTATTTATTTAGCAATGTTTGACAATTGTCCCCTAAAATATTTTTGGGGACATTTTTAGATTGTTACATTAGTTCTAATAAAAGGCTACATTTCTGAAATGTTGTATAAATTTTTTTAGAATTATCAAATTTTTGGTGGCAATCTTCCCTCCAAAACTTATACACTAAAAAACAAATATTTTTCTCTAAACATTATTAATATATATAAAAAAAATATTTTTCTAACACAGGAATTTAAAAATAAAAAATTTCAATTAAACAGAAAATAAAAAATTATATATATATATATATATATATATATATATATATATATATATATATATATATATATATATATATATATATATATATATATATATATATATATATATATATATATATATATATATATATATATATATATATATATATATATATATATATATATATATATATATATATATATATATATATATATATATATATATATATATATATATATATATATATATATATATATATATATATATATATATATTAGTCTAAAACTTATATATATTTCAATTAAACAGGAATTTTTCTAACACATTATTAATATTTCTCTAAAACTTATATATATATTAAAAAAAATTTCATTAAACAGAAAATAAAAAATTTTCTAACACAGGAATTTAAAATATTTTTCATTGTTCCAAACTGGTACCCATTTATTAAATTAAAAAATAACCGATACCCATTGTTCCAAACTGGACCAAAGTATGGGTCACTGTTACTATACTTCCAAACATACGCAGTAAAACACATCTTCTTCAAAAATCTCAAACATCAGCAAAATTGTTTTTCAAATCCAACAAATTCGTCCTTCAAGAACGCCTCCACGAGCTTTCTTCTCAGAATCAGGTGAAATTCTACTTAGAATTTTTAGTTTTCACAAATTAAAAGCTTTTTAATTATGGGTTTATCTAATTAACTGCAAAATCGATGAAATTCAGGTTCAAGAGAAAGCTCTACCAACATCTTCCATCTTCCATTGATACTCAGGTAAACATATTATAAACTCCAAATCTGAGTTGTAGGATTCATTGATTATACGGATTTCTTGTATGCACGCATCTTGTTTGATAAAATGTCTATTTGGGTTTGTTTATATTGTCATATTAATATAGCTGGAGAACGACATGTATATTTTACAATTGATGATTTTGTGAGGAGGTCGCTGCTATAGACATGTCTGTGTTGGTGTTGTTGTTGTCGTCGTTGATTATACGCGACAAATTAAGAAAAGTATACAATCCCAGTGAATGATGCATATAAAAATTTCTCGTGAGAACCATTTTCGCCAATGATCTTTGTCTATCTTCCGTATAAAAATCAGCAAGATATGCAAAACACTGAGCCAAGCAAATGGTGCTGCTTAATATCCAAAAATCAGCAAAAGTCCTACCAATAGGAGTTGAGAAGCTCTTATCTCCGTAACCTAAAGTCGTAACCGTCGAACAAACACAATAGAATGCATCGACGAAATCTAGTTTCTCAACAAAATACAGAAAAACAGTTCCTGTAATCATGAGTACAACAAAAGTGGATATTGAAAGCAGAAACTTGTATTTGCTTTTCTTAGTCACAAGTTCTTTAGAAACCTCTTCTAGACCGAGTTTCTCGGCTTTGCATATTGCTTTAACAAGATAAACTTCCTGTTTTTCAACAATGTAATCTGCTGCTTTGCTAAGAATCAAGCCACCAAGAGCCATACCAGTGTAGACATAAAGGCAAGCAAGTAGTTTCGCTATAGTACTATTAGGAACGAGATCGCCATATCCAACGGTTGTCATCGTGACGACACAGAAATAAAGAGCATCAAGAAAACCATATGTTTTTATGCTTTGAATTTGGTAACTTGCCAGAAAGAAACATAAGGTTCCTGTACCTAAGTATGCTGCTAAATAGAAGAATACTGGCTTGAAGTTGAGTTCTGCTTCTTGTGTTTCATATACATGAGTACAATTTCTATAGTTTTGTATATTTTTTAGGTAACCAATTTGAAGTTAATGAATTGTTATGTAGCCATATATTTTATTTGAGATAGCATGGCTTATGCAGATGACCAAAACTCATAGAATTTGGCCGAAACATTGGATAAATAGCATGGCTTATGCAGATAATATAATGTAAATTATCAACAACTGAAATCTACCTAAATTCAATAACCTATTAATTGATAGTAATTCAGATAGAAAATTCATTTATCATTTAATTTTTACTAATCAATTTCTATAGTTTTGTATATTTTTTAGGTAACCAATTTGAAGTTAATGAATTGTTATGTAGCCATATATTTTATTTGAGATAGCATGGCTTATGCAGATGACTAAAACTCATAGAATTTGGCCGAAACATTGGATAAATAGCATGGCTTATGCAGATAATATAATGTAAATTATCAACAACTGAAATCCACCTAAATTCAATAACCTATCAACTGTAATTTAGAAATAGCAACTTATGTGACTTTGATACACTTTGAAACAGAACCATTATGTTGAAGCATGGATATATATTCATTACGGTATATTGCAGAGTACATAAATTGGTTTTTTTTATAAAATTGATTAACATAATTGTTTTAACTCTCAGTATGTTTTATTGGACAGCATATATAATTGGACAGCACCATGTGCATAGATAATTGTTTTACGAAACTCTCCTTTAAATTGGACAGCATATATAATTAGTTAGATAACTCTCCTTTAAATTGAACAGCATATATAATTGTTTTACGAATCTCTCAGTATGTTTTATTCATGGTGGTATTCTATTCCTTTAAATTTTATATGATTAGTTACATAAATTACTTAGCAAATAGGGTGCCTAAAAGAGTAGATGATCTTAATACACAGAGATGTCCCTACAATGTTGGCTATGTTGTTGCCCCAAAAGATGAATTTTCTGGTGAAGTCTCGATAATGTCATCGAAATGCATGACTGAAACTGATTTCAGGTATAATGATAAACAGAAAATGTATGCAGTTTATCTTATGAACATGACAAAAAATGTTCGTATTTGGAAAGCCTTGAACTCACAATCAGATGGTGACCACCTTGGCCTTATTAAAAAAGTATTGCGGCCTTGTCATGATGTAAGAATCATTTTTTCATTTGTTTTCTTTGTTAGTTTCTCAGTTCAAATAAGGCAAACTCAGTCGTGTTCAAATTTGAGTTCATATCTAGTTTAGAACAATGGAGTTTTTTTTATGCAGTTTGATTATATATGAATGTAACATTTTTTTATACTTGCTTTTGTGTTTCAGGGTGGAGAAAACTGCAAATTTTGTAGTCAATATTCTTACACTAAAGAAGACATAATTCGTTCTCAAAATTTGAATGATTCACAGGAAGAAGTTGTTTCAAGCTGTGTTGGTATGTTAAACTGTTGTCATGCTAATACCAAACTTATATGGGGTCCACCTGGAACTGGGAAAACAAAGACAGTTGCATGCCTGCTATTTTCTCTTCTCAAGTTGAAAACAAGGACACTAACTTGTGCACCAACAAATACTGCGATTTTGCAAGTCGCAACTCGGTTGCATAGTTTAGTTATGGAATCCCTTGAGTATGATACCTATGGTTTAGGTGACATTGTGCTCTTTGGAAATGGTAAAAGAATGAAAGTTGATTGTTATCCAGGTCTTGGTGATATCTTTCTTGATTATCGGGTGAAAAACCTCATGCAGTGCTTTTCTTTATTAACTGGATGGAAGCGTACCTTGGAGTCCATGTCCCAGTTTCTTCAAGATCCCGAAAAGCAATATTTTTCAGAGATTGGCCTTAAGTCCCTTGAGGAATTTGTCAATGAAAAACATAGTCATGTGTTATCCTCTTTCTGCACATACAAGCGAATTAGTAGGAATGATGATCATATTATGACATTGGAGGAATATGTGCAGAAGTTGTAGATCAATATTGCAGATGAATATTCCGACAAGATGGATAATATTAAAAGTTTCATGACATTGGAGCAGTTTGTGAAGAAGACATTTTGTGAAATAAGTGAGAAGCTCAAGTTTTTGATACAAACTTTATACACTCACCTGCCCAAGTCTTTTATTTCACTTGCAACAGTGAAGAAAATGTTTTGAGCTATTGAACTATTGAGGTCAATTGGAATTTCATTGGGTCCAGCAAAGTTTAAGCAAACTCTTGATGCTAGCGAAAAAGAAAGAATTCCTTCTTGCTTTCTACCATCAAACTCTGAAATTGATGATTTCTTGAAAATACTCAGTTTGCTTTCCAGTTCTATTTTGCTTCCTGAACTCAATGGGAGAAATCAAATAGAAAAGTTTTGCTTGTCCAATGCATGTCTGGTTTTGTGCATTATTTCTAGTTCTATTAAACTCTACACTGAAGGAATGACTCAGGTAAAGTTTCTAGTAATTGACGAAGCGGCCCAGTTGAAAGAGTGTGAATCCACAATCCCCTTACAGCTACCTAGTCTTCAGCATTGCATTCTTATAGGTGATGAGAAGCAACTGCCAGCACTGGTGAAAAGCAAGGTACCTGATTATTGAATTTAGTTTTATTGTATCTTGAATTTTTTTGCCTTTAATTATGTATGTTTATGATGTTTGAATTTTTTTAGATTGCTGATAGTTGTGGATTTGGAAGAAGTATGTTTGAGAGACTGGTAATATTAGGGTACAAGAAACATATGCTTAATGTTCAGTATCGAATGCATCCAAACATAAGCTTATTTCCATGCAAAGAGTTCTATGATCAAAAGATCTCAGATGCCCCTTTTGTTATGGAAGAAAGCTACAATAAGAGTTTCCTTGAAGGAGAATTATATTCGTCTTATTCTTTTATTAACATTGCTAAGGGTAAGGAGAAATCTGGCCGCGGACACAGCTTGATGAACATGGTTGAGGTTGCTGTCATTTCTGAGATGATTAAAAACCTCAAAAAAGGTTATTATTCTCTTTACCATTTGTGGTTATGTTTTCTATTAATATGTGTATAATTAATATGTGTATGTTCTTAATTTTAGAGTTTAAGAGGACACAAGAGAAAGTTAGCATTGGAGTTATCTCTCCATATAATGCTCAAGTCTATGCAATCCAGGACAAAATTAAGGAGTACACTTCTGTTTCTGATACTGATTTCTCTGTGAGTGTTCGTTCTATTGACGGTTTTCAAGGTGGAGAGGAAGATATTATAATAATGTCTACTGTTAGATCAAATGGGAGTGGAAATTCGGTTTTCTTTCAAATCGGCAAAGAACCAATGTGGCCATGACTAGAGCAAGGTATGTAACTTATTTATTAGGTTTTCATGTTGTTTTGCCGAAAACTCTATCTTTGGACACAATGATGTCAAAAGTTGAATGCTCTCAAAAGCTAAACAGGGTGCCAAAATGCCCATCAATGTTGATTGATGATTATGTAGATCTTCATAAGTCAAAGGAAATGGATGCAACCAAGTCAATCAATGGTGAAAAATCGGGCAGCAGCGTTAACCGTAGCTCTAATCAAAATCAATCAAAAAAAGGAACTCGACAAGAAAGTGTTCAAAATCGGGCAAAAGTCAACGAAGAAGATGCAATCACAAATAGAGAAGAAGAAAAAGGTAATTAGTTTCATATTTCATAATAATGATTTCATGTATTATTTACATATTGGTAGCAAACATGTGATATCATGTTGTTGTGTTATTACTTTATAGAAACATCCCAAAGAAAAAATCGTGGGAAAACTTTGTGCAAAAAGATTCATGCAAGAACTTTGGAAGAGCGAGTAGAAGTGACCTTTAATGAGGATTTTCAGCCAATTGGTCCTAGTGAAAAAGTAGTATCTGACTTGAGCCTCTTCTTGGGGACATTGGCTAGGAACTCAACATTTTGTCCTCTACGTTACACCAATTGGTCAGGAATGCCAGATGATAATAAAAACAGTTTCTGGAGATATACTAATGTATGTTTTTATCTATGAATTTGAAAGTCTAATTATTAAAAAAAAGTGTTTCATTTCTTGATCTTGTCTTATCTTATAATTTATGTAGCGGAAGTTTATCTTGCCGGTTGAAGCACGAGATTGGATTGAGACCACTGTTAGAGAGGCATGGAGAAGATATAAGCACAAAATTAAGAAGAATCATTATAGGAATTTTAATTCACATAATTTGTTATGGAATTATTTTGATTTGTGCAGCGTGAAAAGGAAAAAAGAGAGCCCACTTAATCAGAAATGTTTGTTGAAACTCGAAAAGGAAATAAAGGAAAGGAACTGGATGTAGAAACTGGAAAAGTAATTGTATGTAACATTGTTTATATAATACGTTTACTTAATATAATCGGACAACATTGTCTATAATAGTAGCTAATATTTTTTTTTTTGTAATTTATGCTAGTCCCAACTTTAAGAAATGGTTGAAAAGGAGGAAAGTGATACAGAAGCTTTTAAAGTTTTTTTTGGAAAGGAGTGTCCAGGCAGGGTACGCTGTTGTGATACGGTGGGAGAACTGACTAGGGTTTTGCATTTGTTTTCGCAAATGTTTCGGTTGAGCAAGAGTCGCCACCGACTTTTTATTTTATCCTAAGGAAAGGTTAAAAAGCACAGCAAAAACCTTTGAGATGTTTTCTTGGGTTCGGGGAGTAGATTATAGAAAGGGAAGGTATTAGCACCCTTTCTATCCATGGTTATCCATGGGCTCTTAGTTACTTGCTTAGATCACTTGCCTTGCATTTTTAATTGTTTGAAATGGTGCTTTCAATTGTTTGAAATGGTGCTTTGTGTGTGGGTTTGAGAATGTTTTTGAAAAGAGGCCATTTGTTGTGGCAAAC